GTGGACCTCATCCAAGTCCTAAGAAAAGGGAATGAATCAGCACCGTGTACCTGCACTCCAAAAGTTAACTCTTCCATTGCCCTCCAGCACACTAGGCTGCCTTTGTGAAGTTTGACCTTGTCAGCCTCAAGAATCATGTTAGCCAATTACTTATAATGTATGTATGTATGATGTATGTATGTATGTATGTATGTATGTATGTATGTATCTATCTATCTATCTATCTATCTATCTATCTATCTTATCTATCATCTATTCCTTCCTTCCTTTGTTTTTCTCTAATGCTAGTGTTTTTCTGGTGAACTCTAATTAATCCAAGGTACTCACTAGTGATTCCCGGTAGAACCCTGAGCTTCGGCATCTCTCAGATTTGACGCAATGTAAACTGGCCCTGGCACTGATGATGACCCCAACCTGCCTCAAGTCGTTGGAGATGGCGCATCACAGTAGAAAATAATCCATTTATCCTCTTAACTCATCTTCTCTAGACCTTGGCAGTTGGGGGGGAAATAAACTCTTTCTCCACCATGGCACCCCAAACCTATCCCTGATCTTCACTTCCTTACACCCCAGCCTTCTCTGTTGGCATTCTCCAAAGGAGTCAGGGAAAGCATAAAACTCACAGCACCAGAGGTCTTGGCTGTTGAATGTCATGATGAAAATATGCAAAGTTACTAAAAAGGTAGTGATGTTTCCTCTGATCCTGGACCAGAGATGGCTCAGTGAGTAAAGGTGGTTGTCTCTGAGCCTAAGGACCAGAGTTCTATGGTCAGCACCCATGTGGTAGAGAGGACAGGTTCTCATAAGCTACAGACACAGACACACACACAGATACATATACACAAACAGAAATAGACAGATGGATGGACAGACTCGCACGCACGCACGCACACACACATACACACACACAGATTCTTGGTGAGAGGTGAGGCTGGCCTGAACTTAGGAAGTTACGGAGACCTGAGTGAGCTGCTCAGATTCAGAATATGCTTTGGAGCCAAAGGACTCACCGCAGTGCTGGAAGTTAAAAGGTAAAGGGAAAGCCAGACGTTGGTGACACATGCCTTTCATCCCAACACTCAGATGGCAGAGGCAGACAGATCTATCCCAGGGAGTTCAAGGCAAGCCAGGTCTACAGAGAGAGTTCTAGGACAGGCAAAAATACCAGAGAAAACTTGTCTTGAACTCCACCCCTGCCCCTCCAAAGGTACAGGCAAGATGGGACCTAAGTATTGCTTAAAAAAAAAAAAAAATCTGTTCCAAGAGAATCAAATGAATTATTCAAGGACCTACAAGAAATCCTAGAATAATAGACATTGATTTGATAACAGTGAATTCATTCTTTCAAAGCAAGAATTAATTCCTTTAAACTGTTATTCTGCCTTCGTGGATGCAGGCTCTGTGCTGAGACATAACTATACTATTATACAAACTGGGCAACGGAAGCATGCGTGTTACTGGATATATGAAAAGTGCCGATAACTTGTCTAGCATACAAGGACAAAACACCGTCCGTTATATGGAGACCTGGCTGGCCTTGAGTTCAGAGATGAGTTTGGTTTTGTTTCTCCAGTGCTAGGATTAAAGATGCTCACAACCATGTTTGGCCTTCCTCCCCTTTTTAATATGGCACCCTTGGGTAAATATATTTTCTTAGTCTTCTTTCTCCAAAAGCCACCCTCCTCCCCCCAAAAGTATATGAGTGTCTTGCCTGCATTTACATACACATACCACATATATACCTGGAGCCTGAAATTCCTGTTGCTGAGAACAGTTCTTTAGTAACCTACAGAGAAGGTAATTCAAATTCCAATTCAAAGCAATTTATTTCTTTAGACAGGGTTTCTCTGTGTAGTCCTGGCTGTCCTGAAACTCACTCTGTAGACCAGGCTGGCCTCGAACACAAAGATCCCCCTGTTTCTGTCTCCAGTGATGGGATTAAAGGCCCATGCCGCCGGGCGGTGGTGGCGCACGCCTTTAATCCCAGCACTTGGGAGGCAGAGGCAGGCGGATTTCTGAGTTCGAGGCCAGCCTGGTCTACAGAGTGAGTTCCAGGACAGCCAGGACTACACAGAGAAACTCTGTCTCGAAAAACCAAACCAAACCAAAAAAAAAAAAAAAAAAAAGGCCCATGCCACTTTAAAAAAGGAATTTAAAAACATGACCTGTTCTAGGCCATTCAGAGGAGGCTTCAAGACAAAGTTATACTGATGGGCAGGTAAATGAGCAGTATTTTCTGGGAACAACGTGTCTCTAATATGGTTTTCCCACACATCTCTGTAAGGACAGTTAACTACGTCAAGGGAAATTAAAACCCCAAGGAAGAAACAACCATCATTGAAGTACCTCACAAGTTCACTGTGTTCTTTTGAATTTCTATTTAAATTTATAGCCCTGACGGGTCATGGCAAGGATAAACCTCATAAAAAGGCTAAGAACTGTAACTTACAACTCCATTTTCAATGCTATCTGAAAACTAACATACACTGCATAGCATAATAAAACAATATAAGAAAGGATTGTTTTTTTCTTTTCCCCTGAGACAGAGTTTCTCTGTGTAGCCCTGACTGTCCTGGAACTCACTCTGTAGACCAGGCTGGCCTCAAACTCAGAGATCTGTCTGCTTCTGCCTTCCAAGTGCATCACCACCACCCAGCACAAGGGAGCTTTTAGAACAGGATATATCTTCAAAGTTAAAACCCGATGCAGACAGACCTCTGACTCTCAGACAGACAGAACTCCAGACACTTAAACAACATCTATAAGCCTGAATTTTCTGTTACACTTGATGCTGAAGACAATCTTGTCAATCAATGTGCTGGAGTTCCTGCGATGTTTGACTGCCTCTCTGTCTAGCATCCAGACTTCACAACCCAGGACTCCTGCCTCAGCCCACACCAAGCTTTACAGAAAGTAACAATACAGAATATAAATTCACGGAGTTCAACATACATATTCAGACACATAAAGAAAAAAAAATACTCAACTGCCACTAATAAAATGAGTTTACTTTATTGTAAAAGTTTCCCAAAACACACATGCAGAGCCACCCACATGTGGGACTCGAGGACAGCTTTAACAGAGATTTTATAAAATTATTTCCCCTTAAAGTATTAAAGTACACAGAGTTAAAAAAATATTAGGAGAAAAAAATGTTAAGTCAAGGTTAATCTGCAGAATTGTCCCTAAAAGACTTAGAAGTACTTCCTTTTCAGAAAACTTTAATCTTAGGGTATGTTTCTTAAGAAATACTACCAATCACAAAGCAATGACCCTCTCAAAAATTTACCTGTTTCACAAATAAATCAATCTAAAAGGGAGAGGTCAGAGGAAATGGCTTTGGAATCTGCATTCAGATTTCTATATTTAGATCTATTGAGATCATCTTCGTTTTTCCAAATGGCAGACAATATTACAATAAAAGACTTATAGTTAATATAAGACAGCATTACAATAATACCACAAAGGTTCAGGCATTATCTCCAAAAGTACAAAAAAAGGAAGAAGGTACATGTAGCCAAGGTTTGACATGATTTTAGAGTATTTACATGCTTTATAACACTGTGGAAGTCTTTGGTGGTGACACATGGAATAAGATCCCTGAAAACACACGAGGAGTTAGTTCTGCTCCCTCCCTCCGTGTGCAAGTGTTTATTGCTAGCAACAATAGCAAGATCTCATTTTTGTTTTAGCCCTTTAAAACACATACAGTGTGTGTGGAGGGGACCTATTGGGGGACTCAGGTGGCTTAGGTAATTGTTTATTTAGTAATCAGCTTATTTCCGGTTCTTTTTTGTTTTTCACAGAATTTTTTTTTTTTAATTTCAAATGATGTGTATATGTGTATCTGTGAGAAGCTATGTTCACATGCCTGCAGGTGCCCTTGGAAATCAGAGGAAGGTGTCGCATCCTTTGGAGTTTGCACTCCAGGCAGTTGTGAACTAAATGTCTAGCCTAGGGACTAAGAACTGAACCCAGGTCCTCTGCAAGAGCAGTATGGTGTTCTTAAAACATTAGACATCTCTCCAGCTATACTTATGGCTCCTTTTAGTACCAGAAAGGAGAAAAGGAGAGATACAGTATAGACTTACATCAATTTTTATATTTAAATAACAGTTAAGTACAGGGAATGTTAATTATTAGTGATCACACTGAGTGACTGGATACGAAGATGAAATACTAGTAGGCTATAATTTTTGGATAAATGTCAAAAGGCAGAGAAACAGGACCTTAAACAGGTGCGTGCATCACATGCTGTGCTCCCATTGGCAGTGTGGGTATGTCAAGGCACTGTGGTCTGAATAAATTTACATCTCTTAAAAAAAAATCAGCATGCTCAAAAGCAGAAACAGTGTGACCCGATACACTTTAAGAGAAACAGAACCAAAAAGCACTTTAGCTCAGTATACAAAGTTCAAAGACAAGGGCATGCTATGACATGAGACCATGGGGACAGAAACAAAGCCGGGTAGGACAGTCATCAAGTGCCTATGAGCATGTCTACAGCAGGGACAAGCCTGAGCAGGGACTGGGAGGGAGAATAGTAGTGAGAGATCAGCAAGGAGGTATCTTTGCTTGAGCATTTTGATTCTAGAATGTGATAATTCTCACAATGTGAAAGCCTGTGAAGTAGGGGATGGAGCCACACACCCATAATCTCAGCACTTAGAAGGCTGAAGCATCCAGAGTGTCCATATACTGGAGGCAAGCCTGGGCTACACAGTGCATTTCAGGCTGGCTAGAGTAAGACATTGTCTCAAAAGAACTTGGCTATGGTGGTGCACATCTTTAATGCCAGCGTCTGGGAGGCAGCGGCAGGTGAAGCTTTGTGAGTTCGAGGCCAGCCTGGTTTACAGAGTGAATTTCAGGACAGCCAGAGCTACACAGTGAGACTCTGTCTCACAAAATAAAACATCCCTCGCCCCCCAAAAAAATCAAAATAAAAAACAAAATAATAGTACACAAATTTTTTTAATAATAGGTAAGTTTGTTTTAACTAGCTTTTTTTTTTTTTTTTTTGGTTCTGGGATTGAACTCAAAGGCCTTGTGTACCCCATGTATGGTATCTATCCATAGCTCCAAAGGCTAAGTTTAATACAGAGACTGGACTTGAAAAAGATACAGTCTTGCCAATCTGTCCCCATGGAGACAAAGTAACTTACTCTACTTATCAAATTGCCTTATCAGGTAACATAGCCTCTCCAGGGAAAACCACCCATGCCCACACAGCACTGGTTCAGAGCATGTCTGGTCCAGGCGAAATGAATAACACTCTGTCCAATAATTTATTATGGGACTTTATAGATGTTGGAATAGAAATTAAAAGAATCCTTCTAGAAATCCTCTAAAGAGGCTATTAATCAGAGCAAAGTAGGTGGAGATACAAGATTAAATTTGGGAGGAAAAAAATTGAATTTTTTTTTTCTGGTTTTTCGAGACAGGGTAAAGATTGAATTTTTATTGGGTGTTAAAATATATACACATATTGGTTTTTCGAGACAGGGTTTCTCTGTGTAGCTCTGGCTGTCCTGGAACTCGCTCTGTAGACCAGGCTGGCCTCGAACTCAGAAATTCACCTTCTTCTGCCTCCCAAGTGCTGGGATTAAAGGCGTGCGCCACCATCGTCCGGTGGGTGTTAAAAATATTAACAATGTGATTCAGTTTAGAAAATATTCGTAGCATCAAGAGGAGGCTGTGTGTGGATGCCACTCAGGCACCCCCACGTAAATATTGTTTGATACTGAAATTTTGGTAACTTATCACCCCTAATATGATTTAGTGTCCACAATGCCCAGTTGTAGGGCAACTTTAAAAGAGCCGAGCTCAATCCCTCTACATCAAAAAGATGGCCTTTCTCTGGAAGACTGTGTTACGAAGCATCAATGATGTTTGTGTTTCACCCTGACACTCATCTTCAGAGAATAATCTCAGGCAGAAAAAGACCTAAAAGATGCTAGTCACTGTTGGGTCTGTAAGGCAGGACGAACCTCTGCCGAGCCTAGGAATGGGATGGGGCACTGGGAGTGCCATGAGTTAAAAAATACTAAGTGCTACATTGGTCTGTGACTCTTCCACAAAAGCTATCTATCTATCTGTCTGTCTGTCTGTCTATCTATCTCCTATCCATCCATCTAATATGCATTGGTGTTTTGCCCTGTATGCATTATCTGTGTGACGGTGTCAAATCAGTTGTGAGCTGCCATGTGGATGCTGGGAATTGAACCATGGTCCTCTGGAAGAGCAGCCAGTGTTCTAAACCTCTGAACCACCTCTCCAGTCCCCAAAAGCTATTTTTTTGAACCCTAGAATAATGTAATTTGCTGTTGATTAAAAAAAAAAATCACATCGAATTCAACTATGGAAACTGGTTAATGTTTAAGATAACTTCTCAGATGTCAAAGATATAATTGAAAGCCAGTTAAAATTAGCCAGGTGTGATAACACCTGTTATCCCAGCAATTTCGAGGCAGAAGCAGGCAGAGGATCGGGAGTTCAAGGCCACTCTTGGGCTATAAGACACCCTGTCTCAAAAAACAAAACAAACAAACAAAAAGGAGTAAAAATTTAACAGTTACATGTTTCCACATAGGCTGAATGAATTTAACAAATGAAACAGACCCATAGGAAAAGGAGATGACGCGGTTCCAAGGCATAATTTTGACATGTCAGAATATGACAGACCACAAGATAGACAGCATCGGTACAATGTAAAGTAAATGTACAGCCTTAAAATAAGTAAACAATTTTCAAGTGTGCAAAACTAGCCAGGAAAAGTGCTACGTGGACACCTGGGTTTTCAAATAATCTGTTTGAAAAACTGTCAGCTCATGGTGACTGCTTCTAGGACTTAAGGAAAGGACACAGCACCATCCTAAGGTAAGGACGCTGGCTCCTCAGTGGCTGTCACCACTCTCCTGTGATAGATGTGGCACAGATGGACGTAAACAGAACGCAACACCACCAGATCGGCACGTGTATCCTGCAGCAGAGATGTTTTAAGTATACCCTGGGTGTCCATGCTTATACTTCGATCCTAGGCACTCAGTGTTGCTGTTGACATCAGGATCATGATTCTCTGTCACTTTTGTTATCTACGCGTACATTAACAAACCTTATATAACTACATTTAGCAGTTAAACATCTAAAAGTAATTGTTAAAGGAACACAAAGCATTTAAAGTCATTATGTAAATCCCAACATTGCCACAATCTGAAGATTTAAAGTGTAAGTCCTGAATGCATCGTGTTAGGAAATGAAATTGATTTCTTAACGTTCATTTGTCTTGGGATGGGCGAGGTGTAGACACTAAAAATACACCTGAGGTCTCTTCTTGACTCTATATTTCAGCGACCCGTATCGTACCTGAAGAAAGAAAAGCGTTAGTGTTAACAATAGGTAACCCAACAGGAAATGCCATAAAGATACCTTACTCTGTAAAACTAACTAAACTAAAACAAATGAAACCAAACGGACTGATGACCTTTTAAAATTAGGCAGGCTAATTTTAAAGACTAGTCCGTCAAAATATTAAAGAGTTTTACTCATCCGACATAAAGAATCAGCTTCCTTGTTAGCTGCTTGGGAGGCCCAGGCAGGAGGACTGTAGACAGGATCTACCTGGGTCACAGAATGTGCTCAGGGCCAGGATGGACAACTTATTACGTTCTTACCTCAAAATAAAATGTCCTGCTAATGTAGCTTGGAAGTATATAGTTCTTGCATAGCCTGCATGGGGTCCTTGGTTCAATTGCTAATACAGCACCCAAATCAATTACCCAATTAACCAATTAATCAATCAAAAATCAACGAACCAACCAACCAACCAACCAACCAACCAACCAACCAACCAACCAACCAGTCAGCCAGTCATCAAAGCAACGCCCTGGCAAGCAACCTCCTTACTAAGAACACCCATAGACCTGTAGCTCGTGATGTCATATGGTGTGGTGTGATGTAGCAGATGACATTATCTGACAAAGACACCGACTTAATACTTATGTTTTGCTGAGTACAAAGTCAGTCAATGAACCTTCATTTTCTTTGCCCAATGACATCATGTGATTACTGTAAGTGGCTACTATTTAATCATCACCTAGGGCTTCTTGAAAGCAAAAAACTATGCTGTAAACTCTGTCGGCAGCTTTCCTTGTTTAGGTACAGGGCAGCAGCAGAGATTCACAATAACTGGGGGGGGGGGGGGGTTTGCTAGGTGGGAATGCCACTTTCTATGTAGAGCACAAGATACAAAAGTTTCCTATTTCAAAATTTCCAGGAAAAAAAAAAATGTCCCTAGCGGTCCCTAACACACCTGCTTTTAATAAAGAATTTTAACTAGAATGCTACACTCTCATTTGAACCTGTCATCCGCTGATCATCTCAGAGCTGTGATAACAAAGCAGGAGGCAAGCCCTCGCACACATCATTAGGAAAAGCGTTAGCCAGTGCACACTGACCTCTTTGCGACCTTTGATGGTCTTGACAGACTTCATGCTCTGGGATCGCCTCAGCCCCTTGTGAGTCACCATCTCGTCATCTGAGAACGGCCCCTCTGCTTCTTCGTCCGTTTGCTCACTTCCATCTTTCCGTGGAATCCCATAGGCTAAACAAATGGACAGGACCAGTGTTTTAGTCAGAGGGCACCAGTGAGCCTGCTTCTTCCTCTGCTGGGCACTGTGGGTCTGTCTGGGGTCTCCCCTCCCTCTCATCTGGAAAGAGTTCCTGGCCCTTCCCAGTGAACTTTTGCTTTGTGCACTGTTCTAGATAAAGATCGAAAGACTCATTTCCTCCGTGAACTTCTCCCTGATTGGTTTTCCTCATTGCTTAATACAGTTAGGAGCTGGGGCTTGTTCTGTAGCCCAGGCTGGGCTGGAATTCACAGCAATGGTACTATGGCCAGCAGCCCATTCTCATTTCACTATGAAAAACAATATATATATAATTTATTTAAAAAATAAGCCACAGAGGGCTGAGGATAAGAGTGGGTAAGAGCTCTGGGACAAGCAAAAGGAGCTGGTTTCAGATCCTAGCATTCATATAAAAGTCTGGGCATGGTCCACTGGATTCCCACAACTTCACTGCTGTGTGTGTATGTGTGGGAGGTATGCTCAGATAGACACGAGAGACAAAAGGATGTCTGGGGACTTCCAGGTTGTCAGCCTAGCAGAAATACATGAGTCCCAGGTTGAGGGAGAGACCCTGCCTCAAAGGAAAACAGTAGAGAGCCATGGAGGAACACACACCTCAGAGTCAGGCATAGCATTAAGGACTCAGGAAAAAGAGGATGACTGATGTGTGTTGAAGGTCAGCATGAGCTACAAGGTCAGATCCTGTGTCAAAACAACCAAGCCAGGCCTGCCAAGATGACTCAACCTGAGTTTGAGATGTCATGGGTAAAGGTAGGAGAGGATGACTCCAGAGTTGTCCTTTGACCTCTAAGTGCACAAACACTTAAAATAAAAATATATAAGATTTAAAAAGCTAAACTCAGCCAGGTGTGGTGGTGGTGTACTCATTCGGTCTCAGCCTGGGGAGGCAGAGGGAGGGGATCTCTGAGTTCAAGGCTAGCCTGGTCTACATAGTAAGTTCCAGGACAGCCAGGCTACAGAGTAAAGCCCTATCTTGGAAAAACAAAAGCAAAACAAAATGCCAAACTGAAACAACAACAATCAAGAACAAAGTCAAACAACACACAGAGACAGACAGACAGACACATACACACACAGAGACACACAGACACACAGATAGACACACAGAGACAGACACAGATACACGCACATAGACACACACACACATACCCTGAAAACTAAGCCAAACAACAAAACCATTGAATCTCCTAAAAATTCCCAAACAATGTGGTTAATACCTACACTTTGTTAAAAAGAAAACAAAAACAAGAAAACAACAAAAACCCAGAGAAAAGAATTAGATATGTTGTGAAGTTTCTCATTGTAAGCAACCCCCACGATGTGGTTTAGGCTGTCATTTGTGCCTAATTAAGACTTTTTAAATTAAGACCAAAGCCCCTCCCCCACTCACATTGTTAATCAACTTGGAATGACAGGGGAACCTAAGAAAGACTCAAAGGGGCTAAAGTTGGGAGAGTGAGTTCACTGGGACACTTACAGTGCTGATGGGGCCTGGGAGGTTTCAGTTGGAAGAAACCACAAGCCATAAGACAGATCTTACAGAGGAGACACCCAGCACCAAGGTCAGCCAGGGACCACAGGGCCAGCTGACCGGCTGTTATGTAGACCTTTAATTACTTATGTCTGACTGCTACGCACACATCCAGGAAGGCCGGCCACTGTCAGAGGTCTAGAAGCATTCCAGGCTTAGAGTCAGGAGCAAGAGCACCCCACTGCTGAAGGTGAGGGCCTCAGATACTAGCTTGTCTTGTCCAGATAACTAGTCAGTACATTAGCTGGGTTCCACCCTGGAGTTTGTGATTCCCCGGCCCTGGGGTGGGGCCTAGAAGAGAACCTCTAACAAGCCCTGGGGGATGATTAGTGCAGAGAACCAAAGCCTGAGGCTGAGGGGGAGGAGGACACCAGACAAGGGCCAGTCTGAGGCTGTGAAGACCTAGCAGTTACACGGCCTCAGAGGTTTTAAATCCCTTTTTTTTTGTTGTTTTTTTTTGTTTGTTTGTTTTTGTTTTTCAAGACAGGGTTTCTCTGTGTAGCCCTGGCTGTCCTGGAACTCACTCTGTAGACCAGGCTAGCCTCGAACTCAGAAATGCGCCTGCCTCTGCCTCCCAAGTGCTAGGATTAAAGGCGAGTGCCACCACCGCCCGGCTTTTAAATCTCTTTCTAATAAAGATAAGGAAGAGAAGATAAGAGCCCAGGAGGAAGCAGAGATGGATTTTTCTGTCAAGAAAATAACTTGGGAGGCAGAGGCAGGCGGATTTCTGAGTTCGAGGCCAGCCTGATCTACAGAGTGAGTTCCAGGACAGCCAGCGCTACACAGAGAAACCCTGTCTTGAAAAACCAAAAAAAGAAAAAAAAAGAAAAAAAGAAAAAGAAAAAAGAAAAAAACATGGGGTAAATGTCACTCGTCAGCTCTCCAGGGACACAAATAATCTGGGACTTACAATCCAAACTGTGAACAGTTGCTAATACACTTTTTACTCTCATAACGACATAAATGACTTTAATTATACATCAGGCAAGTACAATTTTAGGCCTGCCAAGCATCTAGGCTAGAAGTCAGGAAGGATTTGGAAGCAGGACCAGGCATTATTTTGGCTGGCATCCATTTCCTCCGGCAGTCAGAACAGTACATCCCAGGGAGAAGCAAGCCTGGATGTGGAGGGCCACAGAGGCTGATGGGAGGAAGTTCAAGGAAGTCAGGGAGATGGTCCCTGTCTGTGGTAAGATGAAGCCATATTCTCTATAAGAAGTGTCAGAATGTGTGTGAATGGGTTTATTTTATTTTTAAAAGATTACTATTATTATTGGTTTTTCAAGACAGGGTTTCTCTGTGTAGCCCTGGCTGTCCTAGAACTTGATCTGCAGACACCTGCCTGCCCCTGCCTCCCAAGCACTGTGACTAAAGGCGTGCACTGCCTCAGCTGTCATCACCACCAGGCTCTAAAAGATTATTCTAAGTTTACATTATGTGTGTCTCTGTGTGGGCATGTGCATGTAAGTGCAGGTGCCTGCAGAAGCCAGAAGAGGGCGCCAGATCCCTTGGAGCAGCAGTTACAGGAAGTCATAAACTGAGCAAAGTGGGTGATGGGAAATAAACTGGGGTCCTTGGGGAGAGTGTATTTGTTCTTAATCATGAACTCATCCTTCCAGTGTTATCTTTACCCTCTTTAAAAACGTTACGTTTCTTTAAGGATTTGCATGGTCATTCTGGCCACTTGTGATGTTCAAGGACATATACTGCAAGGCGTGGTTCTCCCTTCCCACCGTGTAACTCATCATGCTTGGTGCCAAGTTCCTCTGCTCCTTGTTGACAGTCCCCAGACAACTATATGTCACGGAAAGCAGGTTTTTACGTGATTTTATTTTTTTTTTAACTGTCAAAAATTTATTTAAAAAAGTATTCTTGTATAATGAAAACAAATCAGAAAAAAAACCTAGAGGTTGCCATTTCTAGACAGTTTTCCATTGTATTATTTAATTTTTCAAAACAAGGATATTGTGTTATTTCCGGTTGAGTAATAAATTAAAACTAAACAAACAATAATTCCACCCCAATCAAACAACAGAACACACGCACATGCACACAAAACAAAACATCTTAATCCTTACCACTGTCTACTGTGCCTCTATAACACAAGCTCAAAAAAGGCACTGATTTATAGTATCTGATTTTTCCCCCCAGAATCTAACATTATTAGTTTTCTTGGCTAATAAATTGCCATTTTGTTTACTAATTCTTGTAGGCACTTGGCTGTTGTTATTACGAACGAGAGAAACAGTCCTGTTATATACAGCTCTGAACGCTTGTCTGGCAGACTGTCATCCGAAATGGCTAGTTCATTTTCAACTCATACAAAGCCCCAGGGGCTGGTCCATGACTCCCTTCCTCCCCTCGGCTTCCCAGGCTTTTGTAGCAGCCTTCACAAATCACCACCAATAATGCGGTGAAGGCAGCGTACAGTGGGACTTCTGCCAGCTTCTTGTTGGACACTGGCCGTGAGAACTGCAGCTGCCAGGTGAGTCCAGCTCGCCCCAGAGTCTGAGGGCCATACAGAGCGGACACACAGGCTTGTCTGAGAGGCCTTCTTGCTTTAGACACCTGCTGCTTGGCTTTTTCAAGCCCTGACACGTGTGAGCTCTTCTTTGGGTATGTGGCCCCAGCCCCAGCTGCTGTCTGAGCACAGCTGCCTGAGACCCTAAACAGAACTACTTTGCAAAGCCTAGTTATCCTACATTCTGTGCCAAAAAGAGACTCTGATTGTTTTAGGCAACTGGTTGGGGGCATTTTGCTACATTGTAATATATTAGGGTTGTTGACTAAGAATGTTCTGGAAGGATAAAATTATTATTTCCTTCCTTCTCCTTCTCCTTCTCCTTCTTTTTAAGGATCTCAGCATGTAGCCCTGACTGTCCTGGAACTCTCTATGTAGACCAGGCTGACCTCAAACTCAGAGATCTATCTGCCTCTGCCTAGATAAAGGGATGGAACTCGGGACTTTCTGTATGCTAGGTGAGCACTCTACCAACTGAGCCACGGCCCAGCCTCAGGACTTCATTCTTAAAAGCATTACCTTTATCAATGGTTGGTTTGAGTATAACCTTTCAGACAGTGGCCACTATTTTCAGCATTATTCATTCTTGGGAGAAAGTGATTTAATTTTATATTTTTGATTACAGATATGTGTATCTGTGTAGGGGTATGTGCAAGTAGTTCGGGTGCCCAATGAGGCCAGAGGTATTGCATCCCTCTGAGTGGGAGCTAAGGCACCTGGGACCTGAACTTGGGTTCTTTCAAAGAGCAGTGTGCACTCTTATCAATGAGCCATCTCTCCAGCCCCAACCTTCACTTGTCGAATAGGAGCTTTGACTAGGTGTGGAAGCTAACATCTGGGAAGCTGAAGCAGGAGGACTGCCAAGAGCTGAAGGCCAACCTAGGCTACATTACAAAACTTGGTCTTTTAAAAAAGAAAGACAAAAGGAGGGGCTTTTATCTTTAAAATTACCTTGAGTTATAAATGATGATTTTTCAGTCTCCCTCTAAGGGGAACTTAAGTTTTTGAAAAGATGATTGACACTATAATTAAAAAAAAAAAAAGTCCTCAGCGTCTTAGTTTTCAGTGAGGACACAAATGAAGACCGTGGCAGACATGATACAGGATGAAGGGACTTGTTCATGTGCAATGCTTCCAAGGCCACGCCAGTTCAATAAGAGCACAAAACAGCTCTTGCTTCCGCCTCCAGCTTCTCTCTGTCCCAGTGCCCCTCCCTCCTTCCGTTCTGCCTCTCTCCACGTGGTCATGGCCAGCCTCTGCTCCTGTCTCTCTCTGCCTCTACTACCCTCCCGTCTCCCCTCTTCATGCCCTGAATAAACTCTATTCTATGCTATAAAAATAAATAAACAAAAAAAGAGCACAAAACAGCTGGGCAGTGGTGGCGCACACCTTTAATCCCAGCACTTGGGAGGCAGAGACAGGAGGATTTCTGAGTTCGAGGCCAGCCTGGTCTACAGAGTGAGTTCCAGGACAGCCAGGGCTACACGGAGAAACCCTGTCTCGAAAAACAAAACAAAACAAAACAGCACAAAACATAGCAACTATGCCACGGGCATCATTTCTGCAGAAGAGGCCTACACGTTAGCTCTTGAGTTAGCATGCGTCATCTGCTTAAGACTCCTCTCTGACCTGCAAATGTCAGCCCACAATCTGAACAAAGAGTGCTGATGACCAGTGAGAACTAAAGTTGGGGTGAGCTGGGAACCATATGCACTGCACAGCTCCTAAAAACTCAAAGATGCCTAAGAGGCTCGGCTCTCAGCTGCACGGTTTTTGTGCAGAGCCACGGGCAAGTAGCTTAAGTCTGACTTAAGAGAAAATTGGAGAGGAGGGGCTACAGGTAAAACGGAAGCTCAAAGACATATACACTTGGGCCGGGGATAGTTCAGAGGTAAGATGCTTGTCTAGCATCCGCAGAACTCTGGATTCCATCCCTAGCCTTTGATTATGCCAAGTGTGGTGCTGCACACTGGAGCTCGACACTTGGGAGGTCGGAGCAAGGGTACAGGAAGTTCTCAGTCACCCTTGGCCAGCATCAGCTATGACACTCTGTCTGGAGAACAGACAACACACCAAATAATGAACTCCAAAGCATACGCTTAAAATAGGTCAACTTTGCTGTGTGTGGTAGCTCACACCCACAGTCCTAGCACTGGGGAGGTAGAGGCAGGAGGATTAAGAAATTGAAGAGAAGCCAGGCAGAGGCATCAAGGTTATATGCTCGTGGTTCCATTACGGAAGCTTTGCTGTTTTCTTGTGTGCACAGATGCAAGGTATGTGTGTGTGTTTGTGTGTGTGTGTTTTTGCGTGTATGTAGAGGCCAGAAGATTGACTTTACTTCTTGCTCAGGCCCCATTAACTCTGGTAGGGGAGTGGGGGTTAGGGAGATTAAAACAGGATAGTCGTGGAGCACATCTTTAATCTCAGCACTTGGGGAAGCAGAGGAAGGCAGATCTCGGTGAATTTGAGGCCAGCCTGGTCTACAGAGCGAGTTTCCAGGACAGCCAGAGCTATGCAGAAGAAAGCCTATCTTAAAAAACTAAAAAACCAAAGAAGTGGAAGACAGCTTTACCTATACAACAAGTCTGAGATCAGCGAAGGCTACATAATCCTCTGTGTCAACAATAACGCACAACAAAGCAACGTCAGTTCTGTGTCCAGCACCGTGTATTCTTTGGCACTCATCCTGACCCTTGGCCCATTTGTGAAAGGCTCCCTTGCATCACGACAAACAGGCATACCTGGTGACTCGGTGGCTTGTTTGCCTTTCCTCTTTGCTTCTGGCAAAGTCTGGTAGGGTCTGTGTCCCACGGGCTCATCCCCTTGGATAGCTGTCAGATCATGCATGCTGAAACTTCGCAATCGCTCCGTTATTGCACCTTGGCTCTATTTAATAGAGATGTGATAAGGTCTGAGAAAAAAAGACACTTTCACATACTTAGTATGCTTAATATATCATACAAGTTCTTTTGCTGTGAAACACAGGAACATTTTGCTAAATAAATAACATCCCTACCACCTTCTACCACAAATAACCACACACTGTTCATATTTTTTCAGTACCACAAATTGTTTATGTTTTCCTTATGACATGGCTGCCATCTATATAAACGCGGACCCGTTTTGCTTTTTCATGCATTTCAAAGTATGCCATTACATTAATACAATTTATTCTAAGCATTTTAGCCTTATGCTAAACCTTAAGTTTTTTTTTTTTTTTAAAGTATAATGAGATTAACTTCAGAGAAAATAGCATTCATAATTCTGAGCTGTGGTTCAGTATTCTGGGTTAGTAAAACTAGCTGGCTGGGGCTTAACGTTTATCATGGTATATTTCATCTTGTCTTCATACAAGGTTTATTTATTTATTTTTATTTTGAGTGCCTCCATGTATGTATGTGCACTATATGGTACAGTTCCTTCAGAGGGCAGAAGAGGCTGTCTGATTCCCTGGACCTGGAGGTATAGGCATCGACCCACCATGTGGGTGTCAGAAAGTGAACCAGGTCCTCTGGAAGAGCACTTAGTACTCTTGACCACAGAGCTGGCTCTCCAGCTCCTGTTTTGGTCTTACTGATATGACAGGTAGAGGCAAACATTTAAATGTAGACTAATTAAAATGAAATCAAATGAAAACTCAGTTCTTTCCTTGCACTGGCGACACCTGAGATGTTAACAGCTGTCTGCAACTGCAGTGTTTACAGTTTGGCTATCGAAGACAGCATCCCCACCCTACAAACAGCATTCAACAGTTCCCATGTCTCCACGGCTTTCATGGGGGCATGTATCTGAACCTTTACGATATACCTCCCTAAACTATGAAGCTTTGAGAAAAAGAAGAAAAAAAATCTAAATTTACCCACTTTAAATCTGCATAGCATACGGATGATTCATTGTTTTATTTATAGCTAGACTAAAAATACACGTCTCAAGGCTCCAAACACTGATTATTTCTTCTCCTGCATGTGAATTTATGACTGCCTCTGCTTATGACATTGCCATGGAAACTTGTCCATAACGGTTCGTCTCTAAACTTCCAAGTTAAAGGTGTTACAAACATTTGGGTGTTTCTCTCCACTTGGAGTTAACCCCGAAGAAACAGCTCTTCAATTCCCGTGTCGTGATGAGGTACGGCTGGCTACTGGTAACCTACTATGTCACACCACATGCCGTTCCCACTTCCCAGGTAAGCGTTGTATTTCTACCATATGTTCCGGGTTGCAAGAAGAATCTGTAAAGTGGGAACTGGAGAGAAAGCCCGGTGGCTAAGAGTAATCACTGCTCCTGTAGAAGACCCAGGTTCAATTCCTAGCACCCACATAGTAGATCACCTGTAACTCCAATTTCAGGGGATCTGATAACCTCTTCTGAACCTCCTTGGGCAGCAACCAAACAATCATGTGGTGCATCTACATACATAAAGGCAAATACTCTTTTGTTTTTTGGTTTTTGGTTTCTTTTAGACAGGGTTTCTCTGTGTAGCCCGGGTTGTCCTGGATCTCACGAGGCAAAACACTCTTATGCAAAATAAATAAAATTATCTTTAAAAAAAAGAATCCTTAAAGTCCACTTCTTCAAGAAAATAAGTGGATTTCACACATTTAAAAATTATTTTTTGAGTCAGGTATGGTGGCCCATGCCCTTAATCCCAGCACTTGAGAGACAGAGGCAGGTGGATCTCTGAGTTCGAGGCCAGCCTGGGCTATGTAGAGAGTTCCAGGCCAGCCAGGGTTACATAATGAGACTCTGTCTCAAATAAACAAATACATAAAAATTCTTTTTTGGGCTGATGAGATTGCACAGTTCGAAAAGGTCCTTTCCAAGCAAACCCGGGAGCTTGAGTTTGATCACCAGAACCCACGTAAGAAGGGAAAGAGAGAACGCACTCCACAAAGTCGTCCTCTGACACACACATGGCCCCCTCTCTCATGCATACACAATAAAACTTTTAAAATGATTCTCGGCCAATTCAGCTTATCATATTTGTTTTCGATTGACCAGATAGCATTTACAAAGGTGGGAACAAGACAGTTCGGAGGCATAGGGCAAGGAAGTGCCTGTGTCCATCTCAAAGATGGCTTCCCTTCCTCAGTGCAGTCATTCTCTGTGCCTTTCTCTGTCTGTGACTCCTCTCAATAATCCATGGTTCTTATCCATCCCATAATTACACACAAATGGCATGGAAGTCCACATAGTATGACTTGGGTCTTAAATGTTTCTTCAAAGGCCTATGTCTCCAGCCTGTATAGCTACTGGCAGGTCTTTAAGAGGTGGTGACTCCCGGGCGGTGGTGGCGCACGCCTTTCATCCAAGCACTTGGGAGGCAGAGGCAGGCGGATTTCTGAGTTCAAGGCCAGCCTGGTCTACAGAGTGAGTTCCAGGACAGCCAGAGCTACACAGAGAAACCCTGTCTCGAAAAACCAAACCAAACCAAACCAAACCAAACCAAACCAAACAAACAAACAAACAAACAAAAAACGAGGTGGTGATCAATGAAAGACCATTTGATGTGCCCTTGAAGGTGATCTTGGGGACCCAACATCCTGCTGTCAGGAGGTGAGCATACTGGTCTATTACCGCATGCCGATTTGATGAAGGTCCAAGCACCAGCGTCCACCAGTGATGGACTAAAACCTCTTCTAGCTCCTGAGTCAATACGCACACTTCTCAGGAAGCTGACTAGCACACTTTGTTACCAGAAGGTGCCTGTTTGGAGTACAATTCCTTCTAAGATTTACTTTTTTCTTTTATGCGTCTGGGGTGCTTTATCTGAATGTATGTCTGGGCACCATGTGCAAGCCCTGCCTGTGGAGGCCGGAAGGTGTATCAGAGCCCCTGGAATGGGAATTACAGCCAGTTGTGAGCTACCATGTGGGTGCTGGGAAGCAACCTGCGGTCTTTTAGAAGGGAGCAGCTGGCGCTCTTCATACCTCAGCCACCTCTCTGGTCCCCTGAGTACAATTTCTAGGGCTGCTTTTAATGAGCTAAAGTGGCCCTAAAATATTGACTAGATTAGTAATTGTATACCATTGCAAGCTGTGGTGCTTTTAACTGGTGTACTCAGTAGCTAACGCCTACCTCACAAATGAACTAGACCACTGTTGTGTGACGTGTTTGCTACCGGAGTAAGATGCTAAGAAACCAGAAAATGGGGTGGGTCTTAGGTTTCTGCTCTACTAGTTCACCTAGAATGGTCTTATATCAAGCAGGTCATTAATACGCAAACTATTTATTTAATTTATGCCTATCTTTTTTTTTTTTCTCTCCCACAACCTGATGCAAGCCAGAGTTACCTGGGAAGAGGACCCTCAGTTGAGGAAATGCCTCCATATTGCCTGTAGTGCATTTTCTTGATTAAAGACTGAGGTGGCAGGGACTGGCCCATTGTGGGCAGTGCTACCCTGGGCATGTGGTCCGGAGTTGGATAAGACAGCAGGGTGAGCCAACAATGGGAAGCAAGCCACAAGCAGCACCCCTCGATGGCCCCTGCTTCAGTTCCTTCCTGGAATTCCTGCCCTGACTTCCCTCAGGGACGAGCTGTGAGATAATCCTCCCCTCCCCCAAGTTACTATTGCTCGAGCTTTTTATGACAATAGAAATCAGTTGTGATTGCTAAAGAGTTCTTCAAAGAGAGCAGTGTGTTTCAGTGTGAACAATGGAGACTCCCAGGCATCTCAAAGGAGCACCACTGTTCACCTACTAGGAGGTAGCCTCAGGCTTAAACTCAGAGCAGACCCAGCTCTGGTATCTGGGGACTCACTTAATTGTAATCTGGCTCTTGAGTTACTATTATCAGTAGCTAAACTTTATCAACACCATCTAGGCTTCTAGGAAGTGAAATTACTGTACAGAAAAGGCAGAAAGTGGGGCTAAGGGCGTAGCTCGGTTGGTCAGAGTGCTTGCTCAGCATGAGTGAGCAGGAAGCCCTGGGCTCCGTTCCCAACACTGAATAAACAGGGCCTGGTGGCACATGTTGGCCATCCCAGCAGTCAGGAGGATCCGAAGTTTACAGCCCTCCTCAGCTACAAAGTGACCCCTCTTTTCTTTGGGGTGGGGGCTGGGAGGAGGGGAAAGAAAATTCAGCCTATTTTCCTAGAGTCCACAGAACAGATTAGTGTAACAGACACTGGATTCTAGAACAATCAATTTTGCTCCGGATTTCTCTTTTTTTTTTCTCTTCTCTTTTCTCTCTTCTCTTCTCCTTTCTCTTCTCTTCTCTCCTCTCTTCTCTTTTCTCTTCTCTCTTCTCTTTCTCTTCTCTCTTCTCTTTTCTTCTCTTCTCTTTTCTCTTCTCTTTCTTCTCTTTTCCTCTTCTCTTTTCTCTTTCTCCTCTCCTCTCCCCCTCCCCTCGTCTCTTCCCTCCCCTCTCTCCTCTCTCCCCTCCTTCTCCCTCTCTTCTCCCCTCCCCTCTCTTCTCCTTTTCTCCTCTTCTCTTCTCCTTTCTTCTCCTTTTCTCCCCCCCCCCCCCCAATTTGGATTCTGCCATTTAACAGCCATAAGATTCTAAGGCAAATCATCACTGACTTAAGGATTAAATATTCTTCCCATCTATAAAGGGGTTGACATCGAACCTCTAAAACACTACATCTCCAGAACGGTAGCTCTCAGATGGACATGGTCTGTGCCCCCATCAACACCACCGTGGGAATTCCTATACACATGTGTATGCTTTTTAATTTATTTCTTTTTTTCAGGACTCATCACCCCTTTGAAGCAAGGTCTTTCAGCCTTAACACCGTTGCCCTTTCGAACTGGAAAGTCTTGGCAGTGTCTCGGCCTTGTAGGACAGTACTCTGCCTCCCTGGCCCCAGCTAAGGAGGTGCCAGGAGTGGATCCTTGTCATTTGTTGATGGAGGAAAATGTCCCTTGGTGGATAAGAGAAAAAG